GAGAGAGAGAGAGAAGGAAACACCAGCATCTGGAATTACTGGTGGCAGGGGCCTGTTGCTCCCTTGAAATTTTAAATGCCGCCGTGCATTAAGTTCGATCCGCGTGTACAAGTATTCGTCCCGATGCTTTAAGCCCACGCTTAAACTTTAAGCACGAGCGAGTAATGCAACCGGACGGGGTAATGGGTTAAACGCGGCCGAGTGCCCTCTCACACAGATATACGCGCGCGCGCGCGCGCGCGCGTGTATGTGTGTGTATGTGTGTGAATGTGTGTGGTGTGTACGTACACACGTACATATGTATATCTATCTTTCTCAATGCAGCTACGGTCTTTTATCGGCCACTACCGAGACGCCTATCGATCGATAGCGCGCGAATATGCAATACGAAAAAAGCGACGCGCTTCTCCAGCCTGGAAGCTCCGGTAACGGCGTAAAATCATATGCGTCGTCGTGATGTCCGCGGGACACAGGGGTGAGAATAATATGTGCTCGCAAATTGCGCGCGAGAGTGCGCGAGCCGGAAGGGGACTGAGCTTACAGCGGCAGCAGTGACCTGCGAGCTTGCGAGCGGTACGTACGTTCGCGTACTGATCACCCGTGCGTATGTTCCATGTGTCGTGAAAGAGCCCGGGCGATCCACGTTGGCGATCTTGCGATCGCAGTTTTCTGGACAGACGACGGCTACTCGTGAGTACTCAATCGGTCCAGCCGAGTCTCCTGGGGTTCCCTTCTTCGATCGTCCTCGTCCTCGTCGTTTGTGAAAGTGTTCGAATTTAGGAAGAAGAACGTCGAGACTGGAAAAACGGTCGTGTGCTCCTGAATGAACATTACTTCCTCTTCTGGGAACACCCTGCACGTTGTGAGACATCCGCAGATATTCGTGGAATCGCGACAGACACCGAACCGGTAAGACCTTCTCTCTATGCAATTTATTATCTTGTGACATCTAGTGAATCGAGAAAGAGAAAATCTCAATATCCTCTTATCCTCTTCGTGTATCACTATCTTGATATAATTTATTCAGCCAAAGAAGCGGTTGTCGAATTTCCAGTAAAAGTTCAAACGATACTGCGAGAGTAGACAAGAATAACGTTGTGTAGTAAAACACTTTTCTTCAAAATGGAAAAGTGAAGATATTAATTTTATTCGATACATAAATATTTTTTGGAACTGCAGCGAACTATTTTCTTTCATATTTGTCTTATATAATTTAAATCGAAATTAATAATAAAATAACGATAAGCAAAATAAAGAAAATGTTCTATTTATTCATTTCTTCTAAGTACTATGGATTGTCTCTATGTCGATGTTAAGTTTCGTCACTGTAGATTCGAAAAGACGTATTTATTTATGACAATAAAGACATACTTTTCCGTATATAAAGTCAAGAGTTGAACTTGAATACTTTCTTTCTAATTATGCAATAAAGTTGACTGTACAAAATAATGAATGATTCTTTTTAATACGAAAAAGTAGCATTATAAATTTACTTTATTAAATTTATTTATTATCGTAAATATAGGAAAATTAATGAAAAGAGAAATAAGTAATTAGGAAGAGTTTGTTAAGATTTTTTTAAAAAAGATCGTGAATACTGTATGAGCGATTTAAATTCTTAAAACATTGTTAACATTAATTAAGGGTAACGTTGATTTCTGAAGAAAACAATCATCAAGAGAGAAAGGAATTAAAAAGAGTATTTAGCGAAAAAAATTTGCAGGTGTGTGACATGATTTTTATGAGACGCTGTACATAAACGAAACATGCGTGCTTGCGTTGCGGTTTGCGTGCTCAAGTTAGATTTAATGTTTTAAAAGAGAATAAATTAGAGAATACATCAAATTATTGTAAGTATTCGCATCACGTAAAAGCCCAGTTTTTCTTCGCATCTTGTATTTTAGCCATAACGAGACACCCTGTATATGCGTTCAATTAGAATTAAGAGCTTTGCACAACAGCTGCTCCAGCAAATTGAAACAACGGATTAAAACCTCACGTTATTAATCCGCAGTTGTTATTTTGTAATGATTAATGCGGATATAATGAAGTAATAATTCTATTTTGAAAAATTTTTGTAAATAATTTAGGAGGACTTATAATTAAAATGTATAAATGGAAGTGGAAATCGAAATAATTATTCATATGAAATAATACAACGTATCTATGTAACATTCTGCAGAATGAAACAATAATAATAATAATATAATATAACAAAACGATAATAATAATAATAATATAACTGTTCTATTATTTTTGTGCTTACAAAATTACTTTATTCTCCTCTCGAGAATTGCAAATAGATATTTTCTTGACGCAAGCATAGGATAACACCGTTTAAATAAAATATGCAAACCAAAGTGCTAAAGAGAGAGAAAGAAAGAGATAGATACTACATGCACTAATCTTTTCTTTCCACAAATCTCGAAATAGCATGCTACAGCTGAAAAGAAAAGAAGTCGCTTGTATGATAAAAGTGTAATACAATCCTGATTGGGCGTATTTTTTTTTTTTTCCAAATTAAACAGTTTTACGTATATTTCCTCTTCTTCCGTTATTTGTTCGCGCATGTTGTTTTTAATATTTCGATTTTCATCATTGTGAAATCACGCTCTAAAAAGAGAGCTCTTTTTTCTTTCGAACTCTCAAGAACAAATCTCAACCGTGCCATAAGCAGCGAGCGAGAGTTATTTGCGGGAATAATTTGACAGCGGATAATAATCGGCGAGCCTCGGACTGTCCTTTCCATCAAAATTTCCATTCCGGGAACTCTTAATCCTTGCAAAATCCTTGTTTTTCCACGATCGCGCGCGTGTCGTCGGCTGACGTCTGAACGATTTAACGCTCATCTCGTCGCGCATTAACAACGTTTTCCATCGTTCGGCCTCACATCGCGTTCCTATCCAACCGCGGCGATGCCATGACGCCCGAAGTGTCGGCATAATTCATGGTCGATCTCGATCGCGGTAACCTCTCGTCCATCATCTTCTTCGGCTCGTTTTCATGTTCCTCGCTTGCGCACACTTGCGAGACGTCCTCGAGATAACGTCGTTGAAGGCGATCATTTTCCCGGGCTTTTTAGCACGTGAGAGAGAAAATCGAGGAAATCGCCGCCGCGTGAGTCGCGATATTAAAGCAGCGATGTCAAAACGTGCGTGATTTTTTTGTTTTTTCCTGATTTATTTTATTCGTAAATTCGTGAATTTGAATGGTATGGAAAATAAATTTAGAAATTGAGGTATTAAATAGATAATGAACTTTGAAACTTTTGAAATGGATGATGCACTTTTGGAAAATCTGAAATTGATTTAATTTGTGTTGCGGGTTTTAAGGATATATATTAAATAGTATACAGTATTAGTCATCGACACGAAAAGTTATTGAAGTTTAAAAAGAAGAACATGTTTATATTGTTTGGATGAATAATAAATAAATAAATAAATTTGAAACAACTAAACGACTTAAAGTAGAAACAAAATGACATAATTTTTTCATATCTATGAAAAAAAGGATTGATGTAATTAATGCCACAACATGTAATCTTCTCTTTATAAAAGTTAATTTCTGATAGGTTTAAAGATACTCGATCGTGTTGCGCTTTTTGCGAATATCAAGCTTAATTAAATTGAACGAAAAGCTATTTGTAACTTGTAAATTTTTATTTTCAAGCGTATCAGAAAATGGCTCGAAGTTATCGATTGACTGAATAATCTCTAATAATTCGCGAATCGGCCTTTCGCAACATGTGCTTCGTGACATCGAGAATTGGCAACAAATTCATGGTGATATCAAATCCGGATAGTGGCTCGTATGTATAGACGCATCGTTGCAGAATATAGGAATATGATGCAAACGACGAAATTTTCATGCAGATCGGATTCCACATTCGGGATACGAAATGTCTGTCCTTGTTCAATCAACGCGTTGCACTGGATCGAAAGTAATTTGAATAATTCTCTTTGTGTGCTGGCTTACCAGTAACTTCTTAAAAAGGTTTTCGATAGCCCTATAAATCGCCCCAACAGTCGTTACGGTAAAGTATCTGATCGGTTCGGAATCTCCTTTTGTGCCCAGTTAAACGATTTTTATTGCACGGGCTTTATCGAGACTTTCGACTTTAGAACAAGATGAACTGTTAGAAATTTTCTACACACAATTTCGTTTGTTTCACTTGTTATGTCATCGATATAATTTGCTACTTTCTGTATTTTATATCAATACTTAAATATTAATTACATATATATATATATATATATTATTAAATATTAATAATATTAAATATTTTTTTTATTTTTAACTTATTTTTACTTATCATCGTTTCTCCATTTATACGTTTTCGAATTTAAAATCAATTTTGCATTTGACGATACTATCGAAAATATTTTTTAGTGTGCCATTTTTGCGTAGATGCACTTTTTATTAAAAATTTTTTAACTGTTTGCAAGTTATAAATGCGATCTCTTTTGTATTTATTACCTTTACCGTTTTTTTCAAAACCAACATTCCTTTTTTATTTGCGAGTTATAAAACTTTGTTGATTGTTGATTGACGTGTGTATAAAGTGAATACTATATTTTTTTCTTTTTGTGTTTAGAAAAAGGAATTTTGTAAATTTGACATTTACAAATTGAACACGTTTCTCTGAAGATTTCCGTCTTCGTGCTTTCGCTACTCGATACCGATGCGATCGCGTGATAGAAAAATTGCACAATATTCGATGACCGCATCGCCATCGACTAATAACAGAATGAAGGTAGAATCTGGCGCAGCCTTGGCTCGCCAATTCGACTTTTATCGTATCTAGATAGATCTTGGCTCATATTGAACTATGGTAGTTACCCTTGACATTCTGGCGTTAGTTGTCTGTAACTGGATCGCCATCGCTGGACATGATTGGGCGTATCGTAAGTCAACGATTTTGAATAATTCATCCTATCGAATGCGAGAGAAATAAGCGTTGCGAAGCGTCTGGTGCCAATCACATGATTTCGTAATTTCGCCAATAATGCTATTATATATCTATATTGAACATGTGATAAATAGGCAGAATAATAGGTAGTAATTGATATTTTTTATTTGTTTATAATCCTATCATTGTTCATAATGTTCTATCATTTTGTGAATAAAAGTGATACAGCCATAAATACGTTAAGTTATAATAATATTATATAATTATATATTATATAATAATATTATGTAATTTATATAATAATATAATGATATTTCAATCTAAAAAATTAATAAAATACAAAAAATTGCGTATATTTCTAATATCTTTAAGCCTAAGTTGGAATGCAGTATTGTATACAAGAAATAATAGAAGAGGTATCGAAAAAATTTACATGAAATCTATAATTTGTAATATTTATTTAAAAGATGTAAATATTGTAAAGTTGTGAAAAATAAGCTAGAGATTAAACGAGATTTGGTCTTAAAGATCTGTTAAAAAGGTGGGCTACTACTGCTTGTTATCAATTAATTCGCGATCATATTTTAACTCGATAGCGGTGTAAAACAATTTTTATCTTTGTTTTCCGAGAAGCGAGTCGTTTCAAAGGATCGATATCGGAGCATCTAGTCTACGACAGCAAGATTTAGTGCGGCCTTGAGCTATTGATCCCAACTCCATCTTTCCCTTTCGATTTACTTGAGCGTAACAGCGGTCGCGCGGTATTGAGATCGTTCGTCCACGCTTGAGAATTCGCTTAATCGCATTCGGTGCAATCAACGCATTGTGACACGTAACCATTGTATCGCGATCTAGTAATGACGATTGATTAATCATAACGATGCTCATTTCATTCGTGGCGTCCGTTCAAGCGAGATTATTCCCCTGGCTGGCATGGTGTGTACGCTTGAAGTGACATGCGTTTTCACGTATGTCATGTTCATCGGTATCTTCATGCGTT